AAAAAATGACCTTCTTTTACGCATATATTACGAAACAAAGGAAGCCTATTGTGAATATTGTGTTTATTAGTAACTGTCACACATTTTGGGATTTATTAAAATAGTTATAAAAAAAGAAGAAACATAAGAGCATGAACAATGGCAAGTAAAAAAAAGAATGTCACACGCTGACATGGCATAAATCAACCAATAAAAAATGGTCCAGTCACAGAGTGGCAAGTGAATAGAGTGGCACACCCTACAGTGGCAAGTCGTTACTTTTGTCACTTATTAAAATTTTTGTAATTTATTTTAATTATTAAAAATAATTTTTGCTACTTGTTTCATTAAAAAAATACTTCTACTTCCTTAAAAAAAGTGTATTTTTTTCTCAAAAAAAAAAAAAAATAAAAACAAAAAAACAAAAAAAGAAAAAAAGAAAAATAGATGTGTGGTGCCTTGGAGATGGCTTGCTCTCCGTGGTGGAATGGCTTGCCTCTCCATGCTAAACATGGCAAATCATTTTTGGGAGCTGATGTGGCAAGCGTGGCAGGCACTTGCCTCGCCTGCTGCCCATGCTCTATTACTTTCTCCGTCCAAAATTAATCTCTTCCGTCCTCCATTTTTGGAGTTATTTCAAAATAAACTTTTCATTGTTTTAAGGATTTGTTTGGTATACGGAATTGATAGAATTGGAATTGAATTTGAATTGAAATTCCATGAAATTTACGAAATTGATGGAATTGGAATTGAAATTCCATGAGATTTAATTACATATAATTGAATTCATCAATTTCAATTCATTTTTTTGCACTACCGATTCCAAACCCACATAATTTTTGTGCTACCAAATACCAGAATTGAAATTGAAGTCTTCAATTCCAGTTCCACAATATGAATTTCGTGTACCAAACGGGGCGTAAATGGAGCTTAACCCAATTAAATTACTTGATTTTGTTAACCCGAAAACTGTCCAATCCGAAATCCAAAGGGAGCCGTATCCAGCACTCTGCTACAAATGAAGAGTGCTGTATAGCACATTAGTGAGGTCGTAGACTTGTCTCTTTATTCTTAATAACTGCAAAAGCCCCCTACAAAAACACTCATACAACAAACGCTTATCCCCAACCCAGCAATGGCCGGGTCATCGCCGGAAAACTCATTTTCCGGCAATTGCTTCTCCGGCATGCTCACTCTGTTTCTGTGCCGCAAGAGTCTCCCAACACATCCTTCCGATCAACTTCCCGACCCGGACTCCAACAATCCCCTCTCCGTCGATCGAGAATCCCCAATGAAATCCACAACCACATCTCCGGGAATAGTGGCAAGATTAATGGGCCTTGAATCAATGCCGGACCTCTCTGCTCAGAGAAGCCGGAGCTTCGGGTCCTTCCTCAAGAGCAGATCCGTGAACTTCATCGATTTCTCACCTCAGACGTTAACAGGGGAGGCCCAGCACCGGAGAGTGAGAACTTCTGTCTCCTTTCGCGAAGCCGTCCGGTCCTCCGATCGAGAAAAACCCGATTTCTTAATCCTGTGTTTCGATTCCCCCGGGAATCAGCCTTCGCCCCAATCGCCTCCCGCCATTGAAGCGAAAACAGAGGAGAAGACGAACCAGGGGAAGAAATTGACGATGACCCAGGCTAAGAAGAGGAGCGCTAATCGTGTTATTGTAAATAGAAAAGGGGATTTAGCTCTTGAGAAAAGGGCAGTCAAGAAACCTGCACGAGTTCCAGTAGAATCAAAGCCTCACAGGAACTTGAAGAACAGATGTAACCGATCAGTTCTTGATCTTACCCCTAAAATTTCTCCAGCTAAGCCTGCAGGTATGTTTAACGCAATCCAAATATTCCATTTCTTGAAGATGGGTTCCATAATTTCGCGTTCTTGATCGCAGAGAAATCTGGGAAATCGAGGAACAGCTCAAAGGTAGAACACCCCTGCAACAAAGCTCAGAACCGAAGAGGGAGGAGGGTGGTCAATGACAAGGCGCCGAAAGCGGGTGAAGGAAAGGTTGTCTGCAGGGGGAGGGAGGAGGAGGAAGAGTGCGGCGGTTCAGGCGAGAAGGGGTTAGAAGAAATCTGCAGACTGGCAGAGGAGTGTGCGGCGGAGCTGTGGTGGACGTGCGGTGGCGTGTTCAAGGTTAAGGATTGGGAGGAGATTTGCGTGCAGTTTGGCAGGCAGATTATGGACGCTCTTATAGATGATGTTGTCCTTGAACTTGCTCTAATGCCCATATCAGGGAATTAACTTTGTAATCAAGAAAACTCTATGTGCATTAGTGTATGATAAATGGCTTCAACTCTTTTCTTTTCAACATATTATCACTTCATTTTAAGAGTTTCTAGTAAAAACTTCGACTAACTTTAAGTTAAATTAACTCAGTCCACTTATCTGGTTTTGGTGCAGTTCTATTCCATTTATGGCTGGGGATGAAAAATTTCTAACTCCGAAATCCCATCCTCATGTTTGTACTTTGTAGTATCATCATCCTCTTGTTTGTACTTTGTAGTATCATCACGAGAAGTCGAGAAGATTTGCCAAAATCCAAAAAACATTTCACATAGGGATGTCTTTTTACCAATGTTTTCACTCTGCTTCGTCTAGTCTTGTATATATATGAAAGTATCATGGCTAGACCTAGCAAAACTGACCCGGACCCGATAACTCGAACCGAATAACCCGAAACCGAACCCGAATTGACCCGAAAACTGAAGAACCGAAATAGAACCGAACACCCAAAATGATTCGAATCGAACCGAACCCGAACCGAATGTATTCAAACTCGATTCAGACCCAAATCCGATTAAACCCGAACTGATTAAACCCGAACTCGGTTAAACCCGAACTCGGTTAAACCCGGAACCGATTAGACCCGAAATTGATCAAATTCATTAATATTTCATTTATCAAATGAATTTGGAGAAAGCGAATTACCTATATATTTTTACATATGTTGATGTGTTTCTAAAAAAACATATTTAAATTATGGGTGCAAACCATGTAACTACTTTCATGTACAAATCTTTTACGGAGTACTTTGTATTTTTATAGAAAGTATATAAAAATTATAGTTAACTAAATTAACTAAATTTATTATGTGATACTCCCTCCGTCCTAAATCAACCTTCCCACGTTGACTTTTTCTCATTTTTAAGAGTAGTTATTTTGCCTTTGACTCCCAATTTTACCCCTCTTAAAACTGAAAAACACATTCCAAATTTCCAATCCAGATCCCCAACCCCTTTCTGGCAATTGGACGGTGCAATTAGCCAAAACTTTGAGCGGCTGCACCGTGATTGGAATGACGGCGGCTGGGGGGGGCTTGCTCGGAGGTGACAATGGGTTGCTGAAAACCTAATTTTATCCAAAGAAATGAAAAAGAAAACTAAATCTGATTTTGAGGAGACGAAGGGGGAGATGGACTTTAGATTGAAAGGGCATGGCATCGAAAGGGGGAGAGGGACATTAGATCGAAGGGGACTTTAGACGAAGTGGCATAGCATCGCCAGAGTAGATCGAAAGGGGGAGAGGGGCTTTAGATCTAAATCTGATTTTGAGGAGATGAAGAAAGAATGAGATGGAAGAGAGAAGAAGAGGATTAGATCTACTGATTTTTCATAGAGATGGAGATAAGATGAGGATTACCTGGGTATGAGAGATGGAGGAATTGAAGGGAGAGAGGAAGAAGTGATGAGGAAGAGGGAGAAAGAAGAGAGAAGAATACGGGAGACAGAAAGACGGGGGAAGCCAGATGGGGGTAATATAGTATATTTACATCCTTTTTTAAGAAGTGGGAAGATAGTTTTAGGACGGAGAAAAAGGAGAAGTGGAAGATAGTTTTAGGACGGAGGGAGTATTATTCATTTATTAGTATGTGTTTACATTATACTTGAACTAATATAAATTTAAACCGATATAAACTCAAATCTATATAAACCCAAATCAATACAACCCAAATTGATACAAACCTGAACCGATATAAACCCGAACCGATAAAAACCCGAATCGATATAAACCCGAACTGATAAAAACCCGAACCGAAACCGAAAACCAATCAAACCGAAATAAACCCAGAACCGAACTGACCCAAACCGATTATAACATATATCCGAAAGAGACTCGAACCGAAAAGACCCGAACCGGAACCGAACCGATTGACCCGATTGCCAGGTCTAATCATGGCTATCTTTTAATTTGTTCATGTGATATTTCCACATTTTATATATGGTGTTTTCCATGGTGCCCAAACAAATATTACTTGTAAAATTTGCACTAAATAGGACTAAAACATAATGACTTTCCTAATGTAAGAATTAAACTTTTTTATTCCCTAAATAGGACTTAATAATGACCTAGTGGGAGGAATAATGTCCGGTAATGATGGACATTTACTTGAATAATGACCAAAGGTCCTACATTGGGAAATAAAAACATATGGTCCTATATTGGGAAAGTCATTATGTTTTAGTCCTATTTAGGTAAATTTCTCATATTACTTTCATTCCACAGTATTGGTCATGTTTTGACATTTCGCAGTTAAAATTGACAAATTTTGACTATTAATTAAAAAAAGTTGAAATTACGTACATAGTATTGATACAAAAATGATAAATTTAATTTGTATAATAATTTCATAATATCATTTTATCTAATTAATATATTATATATATTTTATTTATTTGGAGGTCAAATATGTATCTTGGTTGATTGCAAATTTGAAAAATGACCTCTGGGACGAAAAGAACGGAAATGCTATATGCACACCACCAAATAAACCCACTTTAACCCCATATATATATACCCCTCTTTTTTCCTTTTTAATTTTTTAATAATTAACCACTTTCTCTCTCTACTTCCACTATTGCAGTCCCTCCACCTTCTTCCTCTCACCATCTTCTTCACCCCTTCTTCTTCGTACTCTTTTTTTTTTTTCTTTAATTTTATTTTCAAATTTCATGCCCAATTTTAATTGTTTTTCACTTCCATCATTAACTGCGATTGTATCTCCTTTTGTCCCTCCGACCATCTTCGATCATTCCTCTTTGCCACAATCGGTCGTCCTCTCTTCGCCACAATCAATCGTCCCAATTTCGCCGCCATAGATCGTCTCTGTTCACTAGTGGGTTGCTCAATCAAGGTAATTTTTTTTACTTTCCTTAGATTTTTATAAATTAGGGTTTATTTTTTAATTAGGTTTTTTACTTTTTCTTAATAGTTGAAAAAAATAAAAATTGCGTATTAATGTCTGTTAAATTCTAAATTCTTACTGTTGTTCTTTGTGTGGGATAATTGTCTCCATTTAATATTTGTGGATTTTTTATTAGTATGTGAAATTTTTTATTTGTAGTATGTGATTTTTTTTGTTTGTTGTCTTCACTTTCTCCAATTGCTCGTTTTTGTTAATATTTGAAATTTTTTATCTGTAGTTTCATCCCTGTTTATGATGAGTTGTACTTCATTCCTCGACTTATTGAGAGATGACAGAGTAAAACCAAATATAAATGTCATCACTTCAAGTACGTATATATGTGTATAACCTCATGTTTGTTTGACAGAGTTAAAACCAAATATAAATGTCATCACCTCAAGTCACTTTTGATACAACTTACTTGACAAACAAGTACGACTTGCCCTTTGCCCCATTTGTTGGTGTCAACCACCATGTCGCCATTGTGTTTCTGTTCTCATTCGTAACGGGATAAAAGTGAAGATGGAGTACGATAGTTTAATTTGCACTGACGCACAAAGGCGATTTGATATGTTGTGTAACAAGTTTCATGAATTGGCAAACAGTCTTGCAGATGATGAAGAATGTACAAAGAAGTGGATTGACTTGATCGAAGGGGAATCACAGCAGAAGATCTGTCCACCCTCTAAAGGAGTACGAAGAGATACTTTGAATACCGACGAGGTAGAATAAGTGATAAACATCTTAGACCCAAAATCCTCAAAATGAAAAGGCGCTCCGCGAAAGAATCGATTGAAATCCTTAAAATGTCGGTGCAAACTTGCGGTGTACAAATGAGGTACAAAAGCTTGAGGTACAAATAGCTTTAAAATTTACTACATACTAAGAAACAAATTTCACAAACATTAAATCAAATAAAAAATAACCTTGATTGGCCGACTTACAAAGAAGATAAACACAATCACAATTAATAATTGAAGTAAAGAACAATTAAAGTTAAAGGATGAAATTTGAAAATAAAACAAAAAATAAATAAAAAGAGAAGAAGAGATAGGGAAAGAAGATGGAGGGAGAAAGAACATGGGGTCAAGGGATATTAAAGAGGAGAGAAAAGGAAGTCAATTGTTTTAAAAAATAGAAAATAAAAAATTTTGTATATATGGGGTTAAAGTGGGGTTAAAATGTGGTGTGCCTGTAGCATTCCCCCGAAAAGAATATATAGATATGGATGTATCGTAAAATTGATATGTGGACCAATAATTCAATATTGACTTGATTGGTTGTAATGAAGATTAGTAAATGCTCCATATTATTTTACTCCGTGACTTCCAAGAGCACCTCGATTGGTGTCATCTAATTATCATTTAACATTTCAAATGGATGTTTAGCTATGTTTAAACCATTATGGATAATGGATTGGATGGAGAGAGCAATTTGTTTAAATGTTTAAACATCATACAACTTAAAAAATGGTCTCACTCACCCTTCAAATTTCCAACTATCTACGATTATGTTTATTTCTTTTGGTTTTTTTTCGGTTCCGCATCTTGTTTTCTCTCTTTTTTTCTGCTTCAATGTCTTTTTTTTAATACAAAATAGCAACTCAATAAGCTCACAAAAAAGTGAAAAAACAACACTTTAATTTTATTTTTCCAACACACATCCACTAATTTCTTTTATTTCATATTTTAATTGTTGAAATTATATATCTTCCCTAATTTGATTTTTTTAAATATAAATTCATATGAATTTTTAAATATTTAATAGAATAATTTTTGTGTAATTTTGTATACATCTAATATGTTATTATTAGTAATTAATATTATTTTATAATATAAAATAGAGTATTACACATAGTTCTCAGAACCGAACCGGTAATCGAACCGGTCAAGGCACTGGTTTACTGGTCGAACCAGTGGTTCGAGTGGTTGAACCGGTGGTTCAAACATTTTTAATAAATAGATAAATATATAAATATAAATATATATATATATATATATATATATACACACACACACACACACACACATTGTGGCATTGAATTAAAAAAAAACTAATATATGATTAATAAAATAATATTTCATCTATTTATAAATAAATAATTGATGTTTGACTAAATTTATAATTTAGCTTAATTTACTTGAGTTGTTTCATTAAATTAAAAAAAATTACTTATTTAAAAAATCTTAGAAATAAAAAGTGATTTGAATTTTATTAAACATTTTATCTAGTATTTAAAAATATATATAAAATATTTGTGTGATATGCACTCCATATCAATTATCAATCACCTCAATGGGTTTTGAGTTTTAGTAAAAAAAAAGACTATACACACTTAAAAAGTATTTGATAAAAAAATCTGAATAAAGTATATAAAAAACAAATACTAGAAAGTTCCCACTAAGCATTGTAGCAGAGATGGCTTGGAGAAGCTCCTCTTTCCCGTGTAGTCCTATGTTCGAACCCCAGCCATGCATTTTTAAAATTCTTTAATAAAAGAATTGAAAAAACCGGATCCGGCTGTAAAACCGGCTGGTTTTTTCCGGTTTCCACCGGTTCATAGTCGAAGGCGGTCTGAATGCCCGGACCGTACCGGTTTGGTGTTCGGTTCACCGGTTCCTGGTCCGAACCAGCCGGTCCGGTCCGATTTTTAAAACTATGGTATTACATATTAGAGCGAAATTTTAAAATAAAATTTATATATTAAAAAACTATATAAAAAAACAAAAAGTGATATGAAGTTTGACCCATTGAATAGACACCCAGCCATGCATTTTTAAAATTCTTTAATAAAGGAATTGAAAAAACCGGATCCGGCTGTAAAACCGGCTGGTTTTTTCCGATTTCCACCGGTTCATAGTCGAAGGCGGTCTGAATGCCCGGACCGTACCGGTTTGGTTTCGGTTCACCGGTTCCTGGTCCGAACCAGCCGGTCCGGTCCGATTTTTAAAACTATGGTATTACATATTAGAGCGAAATTTTAAAATAAAATTTATATATTAAAAAACTATATAAAAAAACAAAAAATGATATGAAGTTTGACCCATTGAATAGTAAACATTCAATTTAATTTGAGACATACCTTTCATTCTATATTTTTTTACATCGTAAAAGTTTTTTGATCAATTACTTTGCCATAGTTTATTAATTTAATTATTATTATACGCATACTTCCTCGTCCCAACTTATCGCAAATTGGCCAGTTAATTTTCATGGACATCTAGTCTCCTTTGCCGAGCACAATTCCTTCCGACATTAGATAGATCAAATGATGCCGCACATGCTTTAGCAAAATGATGATGCAGAGGATATACTATAGCTCTATTTTAACAGAAAATACTCCGTAGCTAACAACAATAACATTTTAGTCTTATTTGTTTGACAAAAAATGTCATCTAGAGTTATAACTCAACTAACATACTATTCAGGAATGACAACACATCGAACTAACAAAGCCTTAAGCAAGAAACTCTAAACTAAATTAACTGAGTGGTCTGTTGAAGAAGCATATCCACCCAGCCCTCAAATGTTTCATTGAGACAAGCAATGAGTTGTAACACCGACCTTTTACGGGTGTGGAAGCTCCTCAAGATGAAGAAAAGAAGAGAACTTCGAGGCTTAGTAACGAAAATGGGAGAGAGACTATTGAGAGAAGAAAGAAGCGAGGAATGTAGAAAATATCTCATTAATTGTCTCCACTTTACTCCACAAGTAGGTATTATATAGGAGTCCCTTTGTCACCCACTTCATGCACTAAAGGGAAAATATAAAGATAGAGTTAACTAGTTAAGTCCGCATCATTCCTTCTCCTTGGCCATGTTGGGAAAGGAAAGAACACAAAAAATATTGTTGTGCCTAAAATCAAGACTTTTCCCACTTAAAATAACTTAAAATTCATCAAAATTTGTTATTTCTTAAAAATTGTGTTAATTATTTGAGATTTGGCCAAATTGTTTGATTTATATAGTGTATTTTGATATTCGTGGCTTGGAGCTTGTTCTCTTTGCCTGATCTGATTTTGTTAAGGTTTGATTTGATCTGATATAATATGCTTGTAGTTATATTTAAAGTAATTTTTTATCTTATCTAACTAATCTGGTCTCATTCCAATAAGAATAAGTCGATGCTTCCCTTTTTTCATCGAAAAGGGAGGTAGCCTTTTGATGTGTTGTCATCCACTCCTCAGGTTTGTTTTTTGCATCTAAGGTTGAACGGATGAATTGTTTGTTAGACCCTTTGATGGCTGAATTCATGGCTTGTCGCAAAGCCCTTGTTTTACTGAGGAGTCGTGGCTTTCAACAAGTGAATGTATTCTTGGATAATAATTGTATGGTGCAAGCTCTTCGAGATCAAGTTAATGATCTCGCATCTTATTAATTATTATGGGTCTTTAGTTGCTCCTTGTAATGCGTTGATGCCTAGTTTTAGTTTCATTTGTGTTTCATCAATTAGGCACTCTTCAAACATGTTAGCTCCGATCATACTGATGCTAGAAACGCAGAGTCACAATGTGGCGTCTGGGTTAATGAACCCCCTAATTGTACTTACCATCTTTTGAGGAATTAATGATAGAGAAATTTACTTAAAGAGCATTAAAACAGAGTGAATATTTCTATATAGCACCACAAGTTTTAATTTCCATAACTAGCATGTAATTAATTAATTAATAATTAAATTTTAATTCTGGTATACTAAAATGTCCTTTATATTACTTTACTAGTATTCTGACCCGTGCCATGCACGGGGTCGAAAGAAATTGATGTCGTTTCTGAATTATTTCAATGAAATTTATTTTTCGAAATAAAGAAAATATATTGCTCACATGATTTTTAATACTACAAATGAAAAAAGCCAAAGTAAAATAAATAATATTTGAGGAACAGAATGTAGAGTTAACAATGTCTATTTTAATACCAAATTTAAACAACATTTTTGGTATGGTTGCAAGGATTTATACAACATTTTTGGTATGATTGCAAGGGTTTCCGTTGTCATCTAGAACTAATATTTTTAATCATGTCTTTGTCTTCACTCGTGAAACAGGAAAATATACTTGACCATGCGTGAACACTGAAATAACCCCACAAATGACAATATTTGACCTTGACATTTGTTGATAGTCATAGCAAAACATTAGGCGATCGGGAATTGTCTTCTTTGGAACTTCAAGGGTAGCCCTGGATCAGATGGTACCAAATTCATTCTAGGGATGTAAACTTTTTCCCTGACTCGATTTCCCGAAACCACAATTGCACGGATAACATTATTTCGCAGCTCTTGAACGATTAATCTTGTCCCATTACACAATTTAGATGTTTGGTCAATGTTCCTCAATAGCATAATCTGTACCCCTTTTTCAGGACTATTTTGTGGTTTGGGATTCCCGAACATTTGATTTCGTTCAAAAACTCAACTGTTATCCAACCGCCATCAACACCTACATCTGCTTCTGCTTGGCACGAAGAATCAGAACTCAGTTACTCCTTTTCATCACCAGGAATGAGAGACGAAACAAATTCATTTATCATTTCAACTACTTCGAGAGTTGGTGCCAATAGTGCTCTATCCTCAAAAAAAGAATAATTTTTCATATTCTCAAACATAAGTCATTTTCCAATATAAGACTTAAACTTTTTCAAATTTTTCATTTTTCATTTTTTCAAATTTTTCATTTTTCAAATTTTTCATTTTTCATTTTCCAAACTTTTTCCCAATATAATTTTTCAAGTTTTTCATTTTCNTTCAACTACTTCGAGAGTTGGTGCCAATAGTGCTCTATCCTCAAAAAAAGAATAATTTTTCATATTCTCAAACATAAGTCATTTTCCAATATAAGACTTAAACTTTTTCAAATTTTTCATTTTTCATTTTTTCAAATTTTTCATTTTTCAAATTTTTCATTTTTCATTTTCCAAACTTTTTCCCAATATAATTTTTCAAGTTTTTCATTTTCCATATCTGCACTAAATCGCAATAAAACAAAAGTCATTTCTCAATATAAGACTTAAGCTTTTTATCCATTAAATAACACTTAATAATGTCTAGAAGGAGAAATAATATCCAAAGACGATAAACATTTATCTAATTAATGACTAATGGATAATGACTATAAGTATATTTTCCAATTTAAAAATTATATTTGAACTTTGAATTATTTACATTGATCATTCCGAATCAAAGCCTAAATTTTTTTCCTCACATGCATATCATTTTATTTTAAAATATGTACTCACATTTTTTATATTCACCCATTTCATATCAAATTTATTGCAAATTTTTGATTTTTTTAAAATTTTTTTAAAATATGAATATATTTTTACTCAACTTTGTTAATGTTCGTCCATTCAATTGTTTAAAATATTCAATATGTATAAACTATTTTTTTCATAAAAAATATAGGAAAATGAAATTAAAGAATCATGGTTAGACATCATTTTATTCCTATTGATGTAAATATAAAATTGATAAAAAATATTCAGTGAGCTATATGCATACCTAGATAAATTAACAATTATACATTTTAATTATCCATGATTTCTATGAAACCTATGAACAACGTTTAATTTTTTTTAAGGATGCAGATTATAATTGATAAAATAACATGACTATAATTAAAAAAAGTACACATATTTTTATCTTTTCTTGGAGTGTTCATTTTCACATCGAGAACTTGTTAAATCCTTCTAAAATTGACATCTAATTTTAAATTTTGTATAAAACTTTATTTATTTAACATAAATTAATTTATCAATACTACCGATTTAGATATGAAGATAAGAAAATTTTTCAATGCTCATTAAAAAGCAACCATATAAATTTTAAATACAAAATTCTGGTCACTACAATATCTTGTTTGATTTTGTTATTTTAAAAAATTCAAAAATGTTATGTATCAAATTACCTTAAAACAATAAAACAAAATTAAATACATTAAGATAAAATAATATTTAAAGTACGTACCTTTTCTATCCTTTTTTTGTTGAACTATTCCTTTTCTCATTTCTCTTGCATCTCTAGATGATTTCGTCCATCTATCGTCAACTTGATTTTCCATAGCCCCAATTGAAATTGAAAAATAGGATGCTCCTACCACCAATCCTTTTAAAAACAAAAGGGTGAAGTTGAATTAATTATTCTCTACTTATTTATTGCATAATTAATTCTGAATGCCTATGTATTGAAATGGAAAATGAAAATGGGTGGTGGATGTCACATTTCAACTCATTATATATCTTTTTTTATAATAGGATTTTTACTCAAGTATATAAGAGTTTCCATAAATTTAGATATAAAAGTGAGCAATTTAACTCATTGTCAGTTAGATATATAAGTAAGGAATTTAAAATTATATTGGGTCCATTCTAGATATAACGAATTCCTTACTAAAAATAAACGAATCCAGGACAATACGGAGTATTATTGATTATCCAAGATACATAATTAACGATTGTCATATATAAGTAAAGGGATCCAAAATAATATTAGTATTATCCAACATACATAATCTAAGTAAGGTGATGAATATTATACTCATGATCATAATTTTCAAATTTAGTACTATTAAGGACTGTTTCTTAATGATATTTTTCGTAAATTTTGTCAATCACCATATGTTAAGGAATTAATTCTTGGAAATCATATCATATCATTCATGACTATGCATAAATCATTTTTTAACGCACGGCTCTATTAGGATAGTTTCACATTTAATTATTTACTTACCTTTTATATTTTAGACATGATTTTATTATGGTGAGAATTCCTTGGTAAAGGATTAATATATGTAGCATGGTCCTAAAATTCTATTTAAATTAACTAAAAATATTAATTTTTTTATTTTTAAAATAGTATTTATATTTCTTCATATTTATTTTTTAATTTTTTATATTATCATCGTAATTGGAGTTCATATTGTTGTAATCTGAATACATATATTTACATATAATATTATTTATTATCCAAAATACATAATAAAAGATTGTCATGTATAAGTGAAGAGATCGAAAATAATATTAGTATTATCCAAGATACATAATATAAGTAAGGTAATGAATAATATACTCGTGATCATAATTTGCAAATTTAATATTATTTAGGAGTATTTTTTAATAATATTTTCCGTAAATTTTGTTAATGACCATATATAAGTAAGACAAATAAGTAAGGAATCAAAAATAGTATTGGAATTTCTATTAGTATAGGTACTCTATTGATTGCAAGCTATATATACACGAATTTCCATTAATAAATTTTTGTTACTTATTAATTTAAGTATGAAATTTATAAATATGGAAGTAAGATAAAGGATTAATATATGTAGCATGGCTCTAAAATTCTACTTAAGTTAAATGAAAATTATTATATTTCTTTTTTATTTTTTAAATAGTATTTATATTTTTTCGTATTTATTTTTAATTGTTTATATTATCCTCGTAATAGGAGTTCGTATTGTTGTAATCTGAAAACATATATTAACATATAATATTATTGATTATCCAAGACACATAATTAAAGATTTCCATATATAAGTAAACAGATCCAAAATAATATTAGTATTATCCAGCATACATAATATAAGTAATGTGATGAGTAATATACTCGTTATCATCATTTTCAAATTTAGTATTGTTTAGGATTGTTTCTTAATAATCTTTTTTTTTTAAAAAATATTCTAATTTCCATTAATATAGGTACTTTATTGAGTTTAACTCTTATTATACACGAATTTCCACAATAAACCTTTGTAACTTATTAATTTAAGTATGTAATTTTTAAATATGGAAGTAAGATAAAGGGTTAATATATGTAGCATGGTCCTAAACTTCTGCTTAAATTAAATGAAAAAATATTATATTTATTTTTTAAATAGTATTTATATTTTTCATATTTATTTTTAATTATTTTATATTATCATCATAATAGGAGTTCGTATTGTTGTAATCTGAAGGAAAGAATTTCGTTGAAGGCCAGTGATTATCGCGTAGAAAATCTACAGTTAATTGTTTTCAACGAGAGATCCGTTGGTGCATCGTATATAATTTATTTCTGCTAGTTTACTCGGATATTACGTGGCGTGCTGACATGTTTAAATTTTGCCAAATAGATATGTCAAATGTCGAATTTCTGTGCATCCGAGTCTCCTTTATTATATTAAAGGATATATATTGTCCCATCATGTCTTACCATCCTTCACCGGCTGGCGATCACAAAATGTTGATGTTTTCACCGGCTGGCGATCACAAAATGTTGATGTTAATATCCTGCCAACATTCTATTAATGTCCATTATGCATGATTTAATGACTTTCATAGTTTCACTCTAATAATGAACTATATCATTGGTAATGTCTACATGTCCATTGTCAATATCATTGGTAAAATTGTTTTATTTCCTAAATAACACTTAATAATGTCCAGTGATGACGAATACTCACTTGAATAATGACTAGTAGACAGGCCCGCCCATTAGCAAGTTCAATAGGTGCAATAGAACAGGGCCTCTAAAATATAGGGCCCATATTTTTTTATATCTCTAGCCCAATTATAATTATAAGTTACAAATCCACTACCCTAATTACCTAATACGGAGTACTTCGTAGATTACTAAATCACCATCAGTCGTTCCAAGACTCATCGGTTCCTCCGATCCATGTTGGCCGCTGTCTAACGGAACACTCATAGACTTCAACGCTGAGAATCTCCCTCCTTCCTATCTTCCCAATTGCGATCCCTCCTCCTTTAATACACTAAATATGCCATCTTCCTTTGCCAATTAACTCCTCAATTTTTTTTGGTGAGTTCTTAATTTTTATGTTTCAGTTTTTTTTCAAAGTTACCCTTTCATCCTTTCAATTGAAAATGGCAATCTCAATTTTGTTGGTTTTTTTTGCACGGATGTCTTAATTTAATTAGGTGATTTAGATTTTTTTGAGAATTATTTTAGTGTTAGAAATTTACAATTTATTTTGTACCTTAAAATCTTAAATGATTCATTTTTTGTTTAATTGTTTCTTGAATGTTATAAATGGGTGTTTCTTCTTTAATTTTGCAAGACCAGTAGTTCAATTCTACCTTTGGTTTTAACCATTGATTTTTTTCAGAATTAGAGAAAGTGGTTAAAGGCTATAGCTCATCATTCTTCAAAGATTTCAAGATTTGGAATTACTCTCTTCATCCTGATTTTTTTGCTTCTTCCTAAATTTTATTCTAATATGCCTCATAAAATAAGAAAATATGAATCTGTAAAAAGAAAAAAAAAAGATTGAAGATTTAATAGAATCTCAAAAAGAAGTCCTTCATAAATTTCTTTTTCAGTAGTTTGTATAATTTGAAGTGTAAAAAAAGTGTTGTAATATGTACTTCGTTCTTTTTCAAACAAAAATCTAAACGATTATTTTATGACCTTGAACCACTTCTTTTTTATATTCTAGAGCCTTGAATTATTGAGTTGCACATGGCCATCCTAAATGATTGGGCGGCACTGCTAGTAGATAATAACTAAAAGTGCTACATTGGAAAAAAACATGTATGATGCTATTTAGAGAAAGTCATTATATTTTAATATGCTTTAATTAAATTTCCCTAAAATAAAATACGTAATATGCAATTTGTCATAAGAGCTTAGGTTGCAACACAAAGCATGGTGCTTGGCAAAAAAAAAAATCTTACACGACGTGACACATCGCGCCAGAACATTTAATTCACTTTACGTTAAATACTGTATATACATATGATATGTACCTTAAACATTTTTCAATGTTTTTTTAGGAGTCCTACTTGAGTGTGTACATATTCGATGCCTTAGCCCTTAGCTTCAAGCATATACTGTGTCGTTTGCAGTAGCGTCACACTGACGATTGGGTGACTTCAAATTACGGACGAATTGGGCATTTGGCTGGCTTTTATCGTTATTCATATGTTGGCCTCCATCTTTTGAAACGTACGTCTATCACCTACGGTCTATGTGGGCCTTCTGGACACTGCAGTATGGGGGTATGTATCATTAATCAATTAAAAGATTACAGTAATTAACATTAAATACGCCACAAATTTTTGGATGGAATTATAGAATAATCTCTTATGGAAAATGCTTGGTTCACAAACAAAATGTTCACAAACTTACTATTTGTGAACCTCAATAAATAAAATTAAATAGTCTAAAATAAATTTAAAATAAAAATTTAAACCATAAATAGTAAGTTTGTGAAGGTTGTGAGCATCCTGTTTGTGAACGTAGCATTGCTTATCTCTCGCTTGCTCATCCAAAATTCTCATCGCTCTAATTACGCTAAATTATCTATTGGGAAGTGATGTAGGCATGTAGCCGCCTAGCCGGCACTCACATCGTTATTGTCTTTTATGGAGTATATTGCAATCTTTTAATTTTGCAAGATATAAGTAGCACCTCATTAGTCACTCAAATTTCCATGTTGGAACTTGGAAGTGGGAAGGAATGAAACGAACTTGAAAAAATTTCACTTAAAATTAAATTGGAAGGAACACGAAAAATGGGTAGGCAGTAAAAAAAAACTAAGATTAAGAAACTAAAACAAATTGGAAAAAATTAGATCAAATAAAATAAAGGATTAGTATTTTTATTAAGAGTAAATTCCATAATTGGACCTTTATAACAGGGGGGTTTCCATATTTAGTCCTCTGTTATCAAATATTACCCATGTAGTCCCTTTTTATGGGTGCCTTTCTACAAATGGTCCTTTTTTTGATCTTCTGTCATGTTGGTGTTAATTTAAAGGTTAAAAGTATAATTTGACATCAACATTATGTCTAATGACGTGTTCTGATATTGGTTAAGCGGATAACACAAAAATAATGACTATGATTGTAGGCTAGGATTCCAAAGAAAGACTGCATTTGTAGACTATGGTTATAGTAGAAAGCGACTATAATTCACAAACGATGCAAACGGAATAGCCTTTGGAATTGTGTATGACAAAAAAGATATATTATCATTGTGAAATTACACTTTTAGCCTTCAAATTAACACCAACATGATAGAAGATCAAAAAAAGGACTATATGTGGAAAGATACTCATAAAAGAAGAACCATTAGGGTAATATTTGATAATAGAGGACTAAATAGGGAAACCCTCCTGTTATAAAGGACCAATTATGGAATTTACTCTTTTATTAAATCTATTTTAATTACTGTCTTCGTCCTAAAACTAACTAGAATTACTCCTTTCCCGTTACGCGTTACGGTTTTTACTGAAATTATTTTCTATTCAATTTGTAGGAAAAATTACGGTGGAATTTAAAAATAATACAAATAGCGCAAAAGATCTACGAGAATAGAGGTGACATGCTCAATTTTTTTATCAAATAATTAACGAAAAAAGGCTAACAAAGTAAATATAATTTTTGCTAATAAATAGCGCACGAGTAGATAGCTTTGAGATGGAGAAAGTATTAGTTATATTCATTGTTATCCAATTTTGTTTCTTTTTACATATTGTTTTGGGTCATAAGCTAGAAAGTGGATCTCGGTTTAATATGCTAACTAGTTTTTATCCCGTGCTTCGCACGGGCTCGCATATTTTTCTATAAAATATATCTATAAAATTGTTATTATATTAAAATATAAACCTAAAATTAAATAAATAAGTGAACTCCGATTAAAGTTGTTCTGTCACATTGTCTATTGATAGAGTACATAAATATTATAAACGTATTTACATATGAAGGATAACACATTAAGGAGCTGTTAGTTTTAGCCTCTTAATGGTTCAGATGTCTGAATGGTTCAGCACTTAATGGTTCAGACTGTTTGTTTCAACCTCTTAATGGTTCAGATATCTGAATGGTTAAGAGATTTGCCTCTGAATGATTAAGTATTATACAGAGTCTGAATAGTTAAGACCTCTTATCTGAATTGATCAGACATTTGCCTCTGAATAGTTAAGCAATATACTAGCTCTTAATGGTTCAGATCTCTTACTGGTTCAGCACTTAATGGTTCAGACCTCTTACTGGTTCAGCACTTACCCATTCAGAAGTTGCCAAACAGCCCCTAACTATTATAAACGTAGACATTAACCCAATTGATACAATGTATAAATTTAACACAAACATATTACATAACTAACAAGTATTTTAAATTTTTATCAAGTAAAACATACTTTTTAATACATATATCATACAAATATATCAACTAATACATAAAAAGTTAGTTGTTAAATAATATAATCATATTGCTTAAATTTAATTATAAAAATATTAATTTAAATAGATTTATTTTTTGTTTTATTCTGCCATCTTCGTGTGTGAAACACTATACGTGTATGACAATGAAAAAAGAACATTTATTTTATTCCATTATTTTATTAAAAATGAACTCCAGAAAGTAGATGATAAAATAGTGAGCATAGATATTTTATGTTAAGATTGTGTATGTTTGTTAAAAGTTTAATATATATTTAAACATAATATGAATTAAAGTTTAAATGTATTTATTTTAATTTTTTTTAATAGTAATAATATGATATGCATTATAATTTGTTTTTTTAAAATTTGGATATGATATATTGTAGTAGCAAGACTATTAGATACATTATTTTTTGAAATAAAATTTGTATTTTAACAATGATTTTCCTCTTCTAAAATTGATATTACTATTTATTTCGAAAGGTAATAAAATAAAAAAATGGTGAATTGTTTGAAAGCTTAAACTTTTGAATTTTAAACTTGTTAAATGAATATTTATATAATACTAAGAAAATAAAAAAGTTTATGTAAAAGCATTAGCCATTGAATATAACAATAGATATTTTAACTTCGGTACGTGCATATACATATATATGTTTTAACTACTACATATGATATTTTTAAATTAGATACAATGAATAAATATATAATAAATGGAATACAATTTTAACTAATGCTTATGTAATTGTCTTAAAAATAAAATTATAATTTTGATAATGACGCAAATGTATTCTATTTCATATAAATCTATATTTTTAAATGGAATAAAGGTAAAATGGTGTATAAATTTATACAAAGAGTTGTCTATTAAAAAATTTAATAAATTTTATATAACCATTTAAAAAGTAATTAATTAATTATAAGATATTAAAATATATTTTAAATTGATGGAGCACATATTGATATAATAATTATAATATGAAAATTTTTATATATAGAAATTTATGGTAATTAAATGCAATAATCATGAACATTTTTTAAATAAAAAATAAACTAATAAATGCCATGTGGACCAATAAAATGATGACACTATGCCATGTGGATAAAGAACTTTGCCATGTCATACGCCACGTGTCTCCACTACAAGCAATGAACCTTCTTTTACATATAAACTAGTGTTAACCCCGTGCTTCGCACGGGCTTGTATGCATTCTAAACTTTTGACATTCTATAAATATAAATTTATTTATTTTAAATGAATATTTTTCACTCTAAAATACATGGAGTATTTTTTTTATAAAAAATATACTTTAAATATTGATATACATGCACTAAAAGTTCTATAATTATATTTTATTTAAAAAAATGACATTAAATTAAACATAAAAATACCAAACAATTTAATATCTTTGAAGGTAAAATGTTTTTTCATTTTTTGAAAGTGAAGTATTTTTAAATTAATAATAGAGAGTCTTATACATTCTCTTTTATAAAATTTTGCAATCAATATGCATATTTAAAATACAGAGTATATTTTACAATAGTGAAATATATATTTATTGAATCATTAGAAAATAAAAGTTTTATACAAAATATAATCAAAGTTATGTTTATTCATGCTAAAAAATAGTCTTCATTTAATATAATATAATAAAATATACTCCATCTCATAATTAGTGCACATGTGGATTCTTAAGAANATAATTATATTTTATTTAAAAAAATGACATTAAATTAAACATAAAAATACCAAACAATTTAATATCTTTGAAGGTAAAATGTTTTTTCATTTTTTGAAAGTGAAGTATTTTTAAATTAATAATAGAGAGTCTTATACATTCTCTTTTATAAAATTTTGCAATCAATATGCATATTTAAAATACAGAGTATATTTTACAATAGTGAAATATATATTTATTGAATCATTAGAAAATAAAAGTTTTATACAAAATATAATCAAAGTTATGTTTATTCATGCTAAAAAATAGTCTTCATTTAATATAATATAATAAAATATACTCCATCTCATAATTAGTGCACATGTGGATTCTTAAGAAGCTTAATGAACCAATAAAATGCCTCCATCTCATAATTAGTGCACATGTGGATGCACATGTGGCATGCCACATGTCAACACTACAACCATTACACTCAACTTTACATATATAATAATAAGGATATACTAGTATTCTAACCCGTGCGACGCACGGGGTAGAACAAATTTTTTGTCGATTCTAAAACTTTTCTTAATGCTATAATTTTCTACATTAAAGAAAATATACTTCTCGCATGATTTTTAAGGAGACAAAAAAAGTGGAATAAATAATATTTTAGGAATTGAATGCTTACACAACAAAAAAAAATTTAATTCTAAATTTTCTGAAAGACTTCAATGTATGTAATATTTTTAGTATGGTTGCAAGAGTTTACATGGTCATCTAGGATTAATATTTTTAATCAAGTATTTGTCTTCACTCGCAAAACAGCAACATAAAGTTGACCATGAGTGAACACCGACTTGGTTAAAAATAATTCAACAAATGACAATATTTGACCTTAACTATTGTTGATAGTCATAGCAAAACTTAAGGCTTTTGGAAATTGTCTTCTCTCGAACTTCAAGAATAGCATGTATCAGATTGTACCAAATTCATCCGGGATATGTAAACTTTTTTCCCACTCAATTTCTCAAAACCACAATACCATTGACAACGTACTTTCGCAGCTTGTCAACCATTAATTTGTACGGTTACACAGTTCATATGTTTGGTCAATGTTTCTTAATAACATAATTGGTACCCCCATTTTTAAAACTACTTGTGGTTTGAAATCCCCGATCATTTGATTTTATTCAAAAACTCAACTGTTATCGATCCAATCGCCATCAACACCTACATTTGGATCCGCCTGACATGAAGAATCAGAACTCAAGCACATCATTTCATCTTCGGGGAATGAGTGATATGACAAATGCATCTACCATTTATACAACTTGAAGCGTGGGTGCCAATAGTGGCTTGTCCTCGAAAAAAGAATAACTTTTCTCATCCTCCAATAGGTTCGGAAAAGTGAAGTTCACTATATTCTTGAGGGGGAACTCATGTCTAGAATCAAGAATTTAGGCAAAATTGCAACATCAGTTGTTCCATCAATCACTTGTCCAAGCTTTCCATCTCCAATTTTTATTATCCAATAAAAAAGCTTGTGTGTCTCGATCTATGCAACAGGATGTAGATGAATGTAATCTCATATTCGTCAACGTATAAACTTTACAATATGACCACAAGTTTGAAAATTGATGGTAGAACCTACAATTTCCTCTCTCGAAGCTTTAGATAAAACATGAAGAATTTGTTGAAAATTACCTCCGAGTACAACCGTTTTCCATCCGAATGGTTCATTTATGGAGTTTTTATTAGAGAACATCATTACATCTCTCATTCTACAATCCAATGCCTCAAAATTAAATCTATTCATCATACACGCTTTATCTCATACGATTAGACTTGCTTGTTAGATTCATTTTGCTTTCGTGCACCCTTGTTTGATGGCACATGTTGATAACTTAATTAGCGCCAGAGGAATTGAGAATCTTGAGTGTGCTGTCCTTCCCTAGGTAAAAGCAGTGTTGCTGTTGGGTTATGGAACCCATGTGTAGAAGAAAGGAGGAAATGTAGAGATGAAGAAGATGATGAATAGTACAATGTAGCCCCCCTTTTTCCACCTCCCTCTCCTCTTCCAAGAAGAGGAGTATAAATAGAGGAGTTAGGGTTAGGGTTTCGGATTAATGGGCCGACCCAACAGGCTGGGCCGCCCTTAAATAAATAATTAACATACAACTAATAGGTCGGTCCAACAGACTGGACCGCCTCAACTAATATTATACAAAGATCGGATACCCCCTGTTCGGGGTATCCATTATGAGTCCCCCACTTTCCGAGCCGATAGGAACTCGAGGTGAAGTGGAAGTAGAGCAAAAATCCACCACGGAAGGACACCGTCTTCCTTGCTGTCTAGAGTGCACCGCCAACTCGCTGTCCCGAGCACGGTGAAGTAAGGCAAACAACGCCATAGGTCAGAAATGTAATGCCAACTCGCTGTCCAGAGTAAGGCGAGGTGAAAGAATCTGCACCCATGGATACGAGGTGCTCTGCCGACTCGCTGTCCGGAGCGACAATGGGAAAGAAGTAGAAGCAATCAGCATGAAGTGCACTGCCAACTCGCTGTCCGGAGTGGCAAAGTGAAACAAGTTGTAGCAATGAGCGTGAAAGGAGATGCCAACTCGCTGTCCAGAGTGGCAAGGTAAAAGAAATTGCTCCAATCAGCATGGAGCGCACTGCCGACTCGCTGTCCGGAGCGGCAAAGTGAAAGGGTCTGCACCAATGAGTACGAGGTGCACCGCCGACTCGCTGTCCGGAGCGGCAAAGGGAACAAATCGTAGCACTAAGCACGAAGTGCGCTGCCGACTCGCTGTTCGGAGTGGCAAAGTGACAGAAAATGCACCAATGAGTACGAGGTGCGCTGCCGACTCGCTGTCCGGAGTGGCAGAGTGAAAGAAATTGAAGCAGTGAGCATGAAGTGCGCTGCCGACTCGCGATCCAGAGCGGCAAGGTAAAAAGTCTGCCTCAATCTGCTCATCGTCTCTAAATGATCTGCTCTCGTACAGAGTGCATCGTCAATTCGTTGTTCAGCGCACAACGATCACAATAAGAGTGGGTGATGGAGTCGTCATCCGCAGTGAATCAAGAAAAACATTGAAAAAAGGTGTGGGGTCTTCGAGTAAAGGAGATTGTGTGAACTCAGAAGAGGCGCTCTTCGAGTCCCCCAGACTCGTTGTCCGGAGTCGGGGCCGTTTGTCATAATGTATCGCCAAAAAGTGCATGCCGGCACGAACTACCGTAGTGCCACGTTAGATCGAGATGTCGATCTGCCAAGTTCTCACGGTCTGCGATGTAACAATCATGAGCCGAGTACCCGGAGTCCCCCACTCCCTAAGCCGAGGAAGAATTCCGAGGTGAAAGGGAGTAGTGTTCATGCTCGGCTCTGGTGGGAGTCTTTGGTCCCCTCGCTCTGTTATGACTTCTGTGCACATATCATTTTGCTTGAAAAATCTCATACAAAGAAAAATAAACTGGTGGGCTTGGCCAATAAGCTTGACCAGATCACCCACCCTGTGAGTAGTTAGGTTGTGCCCTAGAAAGTGGGCTAGGGGGTGTGCCTTGGGATGGCATTGAAGAGTGCCTCGAGAAGAGGGCATAGGATGCCTCATGAGATGAGGGTTTATATACCTTGCTTGGGAGGTGGTCAAGGCCAACCTCGGGAAAGCAGTTGAATTTGTTTGGGAGATAACTGTAGTGCCTCGTGAAGTGGCCGAGGCCGACCTCAGGAGAGGGCTTTTGGTTGCCTCGGGAGACGAGGGCTTAAGTTCTTGGCGAGGTGGCCGAGGCCAACCTCGGGAAAAGAGTCAAGTGCCTCGTGAGGTGGATGGGACCAACCTTGGGAGAGGACTTTTGGGTGCTTCAGGAGACGAGGGCGTAAGCAACTTGCAAGGTGGCCGAGGCCGACTTTGGGAAAAGAGTCGAGTGCCTCGTGAGGTGACTAGGGCCTACCTCGGGAGAGGGCTTTTAGTTGCCTTGGGAGACAAGGGCTTGAGTGCCTCGTGAGGTGGATGGGGCCGACCTCGGGAGAGGGCTTTTGGGTTCCTCGGGAGACGAGGACTTGAGTGCCTCGTGAGGTGGATGGGACCGACCTCAGGAGAGGGCTTTTGGGTTCCTCGGGAGACGAGGACTTGAGTGCCTCGTGAGGTGGATGGGACCGACCTCGGGAGAGGACTTTTTGGTGCCTCGAAAGACGAGGGCTTAAATGCCTTGTGAGGTGGACGGGGCCGACCTCGAGGAAGGACGTTTTAGTGCCTCGGGAGACGAGGGCTTAAGCAACTTGCAAGGTGGCCGAGGCCGACCTTGGGAAAAGAGTTGAGTGCCTCGTGAGGTGACTAGGGCCTACCTCGGGAGAGGGCTTTTAGTTGCCTTGGGAGACAAGGGCTTGAGTGCCTCGTGAGGTGGATGGGGCCGACCTCGGGAGAGGGCTTTTGGGTTCCTCGGGAGACGAGGACTTGAGTGCCTCGTGAGGTGGATGGGACCGACCTCGGGAGAGGGCTTTTGGTTGCCTTGGGAGACAAGGGCTTGGGCAACTTGCAAGGTGGCCGAGGCTGCCCTTGGGAAAAGAGTCGAGTGCCAC